CTTTTAGCCGGCTCTGTCGCGCCACCGATCAAGGCGCGTCACTGCCGCGCCAAGATCAGTGGCGCGGCAGACCCTGCCACGTCACCGGTCAGCGTCCCGATCTTCGCCAAGTCATCCTCCCGTCGCGCCATGGCAATAGGCGCGGACAAAAGTATTAGTTTTGAAAAAAAAACAGTGTTAAATTTAAAAATAGTTTAAAAAAATGTTAAAAATAAAAAAAAATCCCCCACCACGACGGTGACTGCGGCGGCCATCTCCCACCCGACAGCGGTAGCAGTGGTGGATCCATGGATGACGAAGCGAGATCCATCCCACCCGGCGGCGGCGGCGCGCTCTCCATCCCACCCAGCGGCAACCCCTTTCCCTACCGGATCCGGCCTCCCGTGGCGCCGGCGACGATGGCCAGCTGCCTCTTGTGGCGGCAGCCTTCCTCCCAGCAGCGGCGGGCACCCGCCCCTCGGGCTCTGGATCCGTCCACTGCGACGGTAGATCCACTTGGGGACGCTACGGTCCTGGAGGTGGCGTGTTCCCCCCGGCGTGCGACGCCCCTTTCTCACCGGCAACGGCGACCTCTTCCCTCCCAACGGCGGCAGCGGCTTTCCTCCCCCACCACCAACAGCGACAGACCTTCTTCGCCACCACACCTAAAGCCTGCTGTCGATCCGGCGGCAGCACCCACGCTCGCCACCGTCAATGACACACACAATGTCTGCACCTTCGTTTTTTTAATCTGAAATTTGTTTCCGTCAGTCGATCTCCCGCTGCCTCTACCCTCATTTCTGAATTGAAATTTGTTTCCGTCAGTGTACTGCTGCCTCCCCGTCGTCATTTTTCAATTTCAGAATTGTTTGTCCACTCATGAGTTCTGTTCCGTGTTTTTTAGTGAAATGTGAGTCTCGATTTTAATTTAATGAGATTACTGACTAGTGTCTTTCTTGATTATCTGTATTTCAGTCAGCCAAAGACATCAGAGGCCAGAGCTGCTTGACACGGCGGTAGACGACAGCCAGCATCCATGCGTCTCCAGCAGGTGGCAGGTAACGACCAGAGCTTCCTTACAATCGATGCCGGCGGCCCACCTCCCCCGCGCGGCCCATTACCTCTTGAATTTCGTAAAGAAAGCTGTAGAAATTGGTAGTAATAGATGTATATGATTTGTTTATGAGCGACAGATTCATTTTGGACTAGCTGCAAACCATTTTTAAGTTAGCAGTAGTTTTTGTTGTATAGTAGTATTTTTTTAACATAGTAGACTTACCTCTGACACATTCTTGCATAATGAATACTACTTTGTATTAGTAGTTTTAGTAGTAATCAAATACTTCATTGGAAAACATGGCATTAATAGTGGTAGTAGTATTCTGACATGGCATTAGTAGTATTGATGGATTTGTCTTACAGTATGACACATGCCATTCGGTCTCTTCACTTTGTATTATAGTAGTATTAGTAGTATGGCTGCTGATACTGCCGATACTGCATTAGTAGTAATTGTCAATATTTTCTTTTCACTATAATCATTTTACACCACACCTACTTTGCAGCACACTACGTCTAGTAGTAATATTTACCATTTGTTAATAGTAATTTTAAATATTGTGTATTCACATAACTATCTTATATTACAAATCTTTGTATCTGGTGGTACAAGCAATGTGGCGTGGGAATGTAGACATTGTACTGATAATTTAAACTAGAGATTTACTACTAGCTATTGTCCCGATTATAAGACAATTACTTGTATTGAAAGGAGCTCTACAAAAAAATTACTACTATTAGAGAAATCAGCTCAATAGAAGTAATTTCAGACTGGTTCTCTTTCTTTCATACATACATATAAAAAATACTCTCTTGTAGCAGGAGCCTGTAAGACAATTACTTTTCTAGAGGTAATTTCCTCCCAACTGATTACCACACACGCACAGCTATGCAGAGTCTCTGCTATTATGGGTAGCTAAGATGAAGTCATATTTCAGTTCCTGGTACTAATTTACTTTTCTAGACTGTATTAGTAGTATTTTGTGTCTCATCTGTCTGTTGGTGCAGCCGTTCATTTGTTCTGTCGCTATTTATAGTAGTATGCAACCCAATTAGTACCATCTTAGCATGCCTTTTAATTCTTGGATAAAGGTAGTTGCCTTTTAATTTTTCTGAAGGCTTTTTATTGTTATTATGTAGGCTGGTTCTGATCTGATGTAGAAGACGCCGACGAGGTATGCAGCATGTTGCGCTTTCATGAACACTATTGCAGAATAAAGTAGTGCAATCGCTCCCTGTTTCAAACAATTAGTAGTAACTGATTCAAACAAGTGTAGCCCAAATTCAAATAATTACTCCTACTACAACTTCTGCTGCTACTACTACTGTTGCTGCTGCTACTCCTAATGCTATTACCACTACAACTACTATTGCAACTGTTCCTAAATCTGAATCCAGTCATCCCCTGGATTAGTTGCGCTGTAATTTTGAAAATGCCCATGATTACCCCACTCGATTAGTTGTTCAACTATTACCTCTTTGCATTATGTAACTTACCAACTGTAGTAATTTAGTACATAAACTACTATAGAAATCTGAGGTAAATGAATCTGAGTCGTCTCCTGGATTAAAATGCCCAGAATAATTCCTCTCTCTCGATTAATTGCTCGAATAATACCTATACTTGTATCCTGTAATTTGCCAAGTAGTAATGTTGAACTTTAACTATTGTATACCATATAGGTTTCTAGAATTTTGTCTTGTATGCTCAAAAAATACCACAACTGAAGAAGCAAACTTATCTGTCTGTTTCTCCCCAATGCATCAACAGGTCTAGTTTGCCGTGAACGCTCCGAGGGACAAGAAGATCCGTGTCATGCCACGCAACGACAAGGAGCCAACCAAGCTGCTGGATGGTGCCACCATCGCCGACGGCAAGCAATTTGTAGTGTCGTGCCAATGCGCAGCTCTGCTTGTGTCCTATGTAATTCTATTCATGGTGTATGTGTTCACGGTGTACATGAATCTACTTTATTCAGTGATTTGATTCACTAACCATGTTCGCAAAATCAAATCATACTATTTGAGCATCTTCCGAAAGGATTATTACTATTGCAAAGGTTCAGAAGTTCCATTGTTTACTACCAAGAAGTTCCATTGTTTACTGAATTTTATTTTATAAAATAAATACTCTTAATTTTTTATTATTAGTTCACGAAGAACCATTCCACGTAACTCTTTGCGTATCCATAGAAACAAATCATTAACTTCCTTAATTGTATAGGCATTTACGTTCAATTGGGGAGGGAAATTTGCTCCTTCCGTATCCATTCGAAGTTAGAAATAAACAAATCATTAACTTCCTTATTATACTCATTTACGGTTAATTCAGGAGGAAAATCTGTGCTTCTTTGCGGTAGTAGAGACATGCATGCACGGAAATTACGGTTGGGACGAAAGGGAAACTGAGGTTCGCCATGCAGCCAGCCAAAAATTACGGGTGGAGTATGGGAAAGAAATTACGGTTGGAGGAAGGAAACTGAGTGTCGGCATGCAGCCAGAAATTACGCCTTTAGGGTTGGTTGAGTCTCCCGGTGGTGGAGCAACCGCTCGTGGGTTGGATCCCTGGAACAGCTCACGTCCCTCACCGGGGTTTTCCCCCGTAAATAATCAGGTGTGTGCTGTGCAGCACCTCGTCTCTCTCGCGTGATGGCACAATGAGATCGTGACATGCCCATCGTCTACAAAGTCAAGTGGATTTCGGTGATATAAAAAGGACGCGGTCTTCAGATCTGAGTGTAGCTATAGATTTGTTTGTACACGGGTGGTGTGAATAGTAACCCTGGGCAAAAATAACCGAGAACCGAACCGAAATAACCGAAACCGAAAATTTCGGTTCCTAGTTCGGTTCCCAGTTCTCAGGGACCAAAATAATATCGGGTAATTCGGTTCCGGACCTCGGTTAACCGAAGAACCGAATCAGTACATATTGACCCAATAGCAAAAGAACCGAGTTGTATGGCTGATGTAATGTATGGCTCGGTTTTCATTTTTCTCCTTTTCTTCCATTCTGTGTCACTGATGTAATGTATGGCTCGGATTAGTTCGGTTCTAACCGAAACCAAACCGAACTAACCAAGACCAAATTTTCTCGGTTCCAAGTTTTCTAACTAACCGATCGGTTCCAGTTTTATGCTAACCGAATTTTATAAAGAACCGAGGAACGGAACCGAACGGTTTCGGTTAACCGAATGCCTAGGGTGGTGAGTAGTGTGCGTGTGTGTTGAGTAAACGTGCGTGTGTACAAATAGATGCTACAGCTGTACCCAGATGAGAGGCAATAAAAAAAACTGGTCCAGCTGACTTTACGGTCGTGGGAGATCTTGTCCGACTTCACAGTTACGGTTGTGGGATCGCTGTTGCGAGATCTCAGGCGGGGCACTTTTACGGTTGCGGATCAGAAACCACCGTAGCTTACGGTTACGGAGCAATCACTGTTGCGGCGGGCGGGCAGCGCTCTAAATCTCTACTATAACGTCCTAGTCGAAACTATACTAGCTCCCCCACAAAACATTATCCGCTGAAAGCCTCCGATCATTACGCACCCACAAAAACATTACCCGCTGAAAGCCTCCGATCATTACGCACCCAAAAAAACATTACCCGCTGAAAGCCTCCGATCATTACGCACCAAAAAAAAATACATACATAAATTGGGTTAATCAAACGCCTTAACCAGATTTGATGGTCACCCACACACACTTCAACGCGTAAACGCTCCTCCCCGCACCCGCACCCGGCGCGGCGCTCAGGCGGCGAAGGTTCGATTCACATCCTCGTTCCCCTATTTTCCTCTCTTCCGCGAAAAAAAGAAACATCGGGCCGCCTCTGTTGAAGCCGCCGGTATCACTTCGCGCGTGGGATCCTTCGCCGACGTGGGCTGCCACGGCCCTAGCCGCGCGCCACCGGCGCCAGCACCCGCAGCCTCGCCGTCACCCGCACCAGCGCCAGTGATCCTCCCCTCATCTCCGCTCCGTAGTACGCGGCGCCCCTACCCCACCGAGATCTGCGACGGACGGTGGTGGCGGCCCATGGCCCCAGGAGGAGGCGTACGCGGTTTTGGCGATGGCGGTCCGGCTCAGTACGCCGACCATGAGCTCGACGCCGGTGTTGGCGAAGGCCTTGATGACGTCGATGTTGCTGTCGTAGATGCGCACGTACTTGATGGACTGTTGCTGGATTAGCTGCGCCACCTTGTCCGGCGCCGGCAGGTCGTCGGCGTTGCGGCCGTAGTAGACGCCAATCTTGCCGCCGTGGCATTGCCCTGCGATTGCGCATGTACTGTTTTGATTACCACCAACGCGAACAGAGAAAATGCAGTGATTGGGCTTTAAAAGTTCTTTTCTTTTTTCTTTTCTTTTTTGTAAATACAGCGATAAATCTTCGGTTCTGGGTTTTCGATGGAAAGAAAAGAATATGGTGCAGGGATGTAGATTCAAAAAAGGGAGGAAGCAATGAAATGGAACATCCCCTAAAAATGCTCAAGAACACGCAGCAGAACATCAAGACCAAAGAGCAAGAAGAATCGAATCGTGTCCTTTTCCTCGAGCAAGCAAGGCATCTCGCCGTCCACGCATTGCTAACAACACTAACAAGTGCGCAACTGAAGCTGAAGGGTCGTAACATTGAAGAAAGACAGGCTACTTGCAACTCACCGACTAGCAATAAGAAGAGGAGGATAGGGAGCGCCAGCATAAGCCGCCCCGCCATTGCCGACCAAGCGCCGAGCCCTGGCACCGGCGCCACTTCTAGCCCTCGGCGTCCGCACTCGCAACGGTAATGCGTGGATGGGCTGCACGGCCGGGGCCTCACCGTTGGGGAGGAGAGGTCAGACGTCAGAGCCGGAGAGGGGAGGAGTGAGAGAGACTGAGAGAGTGAGGACAAGACGAGACAGGCAGGGCACGGGAGCACGGATGACGAGCGCAGCCGCTAAGCCACTGGCTGCGACGCAGGCAGAGCAGGAGGGGCTGCTGGAGTGAAGTGCGTGACGGCTGTTGCGGGTGCGGACGCCAGCCGAGGGCTATGAAATGGCCGGCTCAAGTCCGGAACGCAACAGAAGAGAAACGGAAGGCCGAGGAGTAGAAAACGGAATGTCTGCTGGTAGGGAGGTTCTCGCATGGACCAGGACCACACGAACACAAGGGGACCCACATGTCAGTTGGGGGCCCAGTAAAAATGTCTTTGTACGATGAGAGGTCGTACTATATTTATATTGCTTATAAAGAATAAAAAATGCAAAGCATACAGTTTGGTTTTTTTTTTTGACCGATTGTAGTTTAAGCTGCAGATATCCAAAAATACGAGTACTCCGTACAAGAATCAAGATGCAAGCCTCAGAGATGTTTGCATACTGCGAGTGTGCATTATGCGATTCTTTAACAGAAGTGAAACGACAAGAGGTGAGAACGAAGCAGCGTTTCTTGTGAAAAGCATATGGCCTGTTTGTTTGGCGGATAAGTTATGGCTGAAAATACTATTGATTAATTTGTTGTGAGAAAAAATAATATTCGTTAGCTGAAAAAATACGACCTATAAACCAAACAAACAGGGCGATACACTTGAACTTTGGAGGAGGCTTTGGTAAGCCTGCAACTTTATGCTCACGCCGCAAATTCATTTTCCCACCTGGTTTTTCGGTAATTAAAAAGCTGACAACATTTCACAAACAATAATTAGCCTGCAACATACTACCGTCCGTTTTGCTATGTTTTTTCATGATCTCAAAAATAAAGATCATGTTCGTATAGCTGAAAATTTTGGCTGCTGTTGATGCTGATGTTGATGTGTTATGAGAGAAAAATATTATTCGTTCATCGAAAAGTACAGCTAAAAAACATGGCGAAAAATTAGTTAAAATCTTTGTACATAGGAAGTGGGTCACTACCAACAAGAAATGTTTGGCTGTGATAAAGAACACGATTGAGCCAATAATTGTGGGCTCAATCCCAGAGTATGACACGGTCACCGAGTACCTCGATAGAATAAAGAGTCAGTTCACTGGCTCTTCAAAGACATATACTACCTAACTGATAAAGTAGCTGGTAACAGAGAGTTACTCTGGAAATGTTGGCATAAGAGAGCTCACGATGCGTTGTCGAAATTATGGCACTATCGTTTAGGCCATATTTCGAGGGGGAGAATAGAAAGACTAGTTAAGAATAATATTCTTCCTCCATTGGAGCTCTTAGATTTAAAACAATGCAGAGAATGCATAAAAGGAAAGTATGTAAAGAAAATTAAGAAAGATGCCAAACAAAGCGCAGAAATTTTATAGATTATTCGCACAGATATCTGTGGTCAGTTTGCTATAAAGAGTGTGGGTGGTAATAATTCGTTCATAATATTCACATATGATTACTCCCATTATATCTACATTTATTCAATCAAAGAATGAACAGAAGCATTGGATAAATGTAGATATTTAAGGTAAAAGTTGAAATTCAATGTAATTTAAAGATTAAGATAGTCAGGTCCGACCGTGGGTGAGTACTATGGTCGGCATACCCCATATGGCTATATTCCTGAACCTTTTGCAAGGTTTTACAGGAGAATGGCAAAGTAGCCTAGGATACTGCACCGGGCGAACCTCAGCAGAATGGAGTAGCTGAAAGACGCAATCGTACCCTGATAGATATGGTGCGCAGTATGATAAGTTACTCCACCTTACAGTTGAGCCTATGGATGGAGTCGTGAAAAACCGCCATTCATATTCTCAATAGAGTACCAAGTAAGTCGGTGCCCAAAACACCATATAAGTTATGGACAGGAAGAGTACCCTCACTAAACTACTTACGTGTGGGGGGGAGTCCTGCTGAGGCTAAAGTATTTAACCTAAACATTGGGAAGCTAGATCCCAAAATAGTGAGTTGCCATTTCATTAGCTACCTAGAAAAGTCAAAAGGTTTTCGTTTCTACTGTCCAGAGAGACATACAAAGTTTGTGGAAACGAGATACGCTGTCTTCCTAGAGGATGAATTGATGAGGGGGAGTATGGTAGCTCAAGAAATTGACCTTGAATAGAAATGGGTGTATGCGCCCACTCCAATGATTCATGAGCCATTTTTCTCACTACTTGCTGTCGCTGCACCAATAGTGTTAGATAATGTGGTGCCAGCACCTGTTGTTATTCCACCTGTGGCAACAATGAATGATGATAAGGAACCTGTTCTTCAGGATCCTATAGAACCTATTACCACACATGAGGAGGAGCAACAACATCCTCAAACAGAAGATGTGCCAAATATGGAGGCCTCTAGAAGGTCTCAAATAGTTAGAAAATCAGCTATTCCTACTGACAATAAAGTATACAACACTGAGAAATTTCAAATGGAGGATGATCCCACCTCATTTGAATAAGCCATGAAAAGTGATCATTCATCAAAGTGGCTTGAGGCCATGGAAGATGAAATGAAATCTATGAATGCCAATAAAGTTTGGGACTTGAAGATAATTCCTAAAGGAGCCAAAATAGTAGGCTGTAAATGGGTCTACAAAACAAAACTTGACTCTCAAAGGAATATAGAGAGATATAAAGTACAACTTGTGGCAAAAGGCTTTACGCAAAGAGAATAGATTGATTACAATGAGACCTTTTCTCCAGTCTCATGTAAGGATTCCTTCAGAATCATAATGGCATTAGTGGCACATTACGATTTAGAATTATATCAGATGGATGTAAAGACGACATTTCTCAACGGGGACTTGGAGGAAAATGTTTACATGGCACAACCGAAGGGTTTTGTCATGGAAGGAAAAGAAAAATGGGATGCCGCCTAAAGAAATCCATTTATGGATTAAAACAAGCTTCAAGACAGTGGTACTTGAAGTTTGATCATACAATAAAGAATTTCGGGTTTAAAGAGAATATAGAGGACAATTATGTCTATAGAAAGTTTGAGAATGGAAAGTTTATCTTCCTTGTCTTGTATGTGGATGATATCTTACGTGCTAGTAGTGATGTCAGTCTACTGCTGGAGACAAAGAGGTTTTGTTAAAATTTGATATGAAAGATCTTGGTGAACCTTTGTTTGTTCTAGGGATCGAGAGTCACCGAGATAGAAGTAAAGGGGTATAAGGACTGTCACAAAAGGCATACATAGAAAAGATCTTAAAGAAATTCTGTATGCATAAATGTAGTCCCTCACCTGCTTCTATAGTCAAGGGCGACAGATATGGGGATTTTAAATGCCCCAGGAATCAATATGAGATCGATCAAATGAAAGTGGTTCCATATGCTTCAGTTGTCGGAAGCTTGCAATATGTTCAAGTATGTACACGCCCTGACTTGATATTTGTTACCGGGTTACTTGGCAAATTCTAGAGCAATCCTGGAAACAGAACACTAGAAAGTGGTAACGAAAGTCTTGCGTTATTTGCAAGGAACGAAAGGCCTCATGATGAAATATAGAAGATCTGATTCACTCCATACAGTGGGATATTCAGATTCTGATTATGCGGGAGATGATAGAAAATTCACGTCTGGATATGTATTCATTTTCGCAAGGAGAGCTATTTCATGGAAAAGCTCAAAGCAAACCGTCACTACATCGTCTACAATGTATGACGGTTTGTAGCGTGTTATGAAGCAACAGGGAAGGTGAACTGGCTAAAAAAGTTCATACCCGGTTTGAAGGTGGTTGACGACATCTATAGACCACTTAAGTAATACTGCGATGATAATTCGGCAGTACAGTATGCTCACAACAATAAGTCAAATGGTGTTGTCAAACACTTTGACATAAAGTATTATGTTGTGAAAGATAAAGTCCGGGATCATGTCATAAGCCTTGAGCATATAAGTACAGAAAAAATGCTCGCGGATCCGCTTATAAAAGGCTTACCACCCAACGTGTTCAGAGAACATGTAGCTAGCATGGGTTTAAGGAAAGCCTAAAATTCATGGACAAAAGAAGGCCCAAAGTGAAGTATCTATTTCAGAACAGAGTGGTGTGTTGTATCTGTTAAATCTATCGGCAATTGACCGTGACGATAAAACATGCTCTATGCACTAATCTGTAATGGAATGAACAAAAGTAAATGATATGAAAGATGGTAGTGAGATCAAGGGAGAGAATGTTAGTTGATCTCCACCAATAGGCCCAGGGCCCTTGGATCTGCGCTCTGATCGAGGGCGCTCAACCCTAATATGGTTGGTGGGCCCCTGTCGCACAGCACTATAAAAAAAAATGGGGATCGAAGCTCGGACTACGAGGTTGACCGGAGCCGCTGTAACCACCCACAGAGAAACCTAACCCGATCCAAAGAAAGTGCTGCCAGCGACGGGAAGCCCTACCGACTCCGCCGTCGCCACTGGACATCTCCACCACGCTGGACTCCACCGCGTGAGCTCCCTCGACACTACTTAACAGAGGTATTTCATGATCCTAACATCCCCCGCCTGCGCAGTGCTGGCCCTAAGGGTAGGGCACGAGGTGCGATGGCCGAGGGCCCAACCGGAGGAGGGGCCTAAGCCCAGGTATACAAACCACCAGGTCTAATAGTCTATTATGCATTAGCAAACTAATAAGAAGAGAGACATAGAACTGGTCAGACGGCCCAAAAAGACAACATCGGCATTTCTTTCCAAATTTCCTTTTCCCACGGCCCTCGGGTAGAGATGAGGCGAGGAGTCACGCTGTACACAGCACACTCTGATCGTGAGTTCGCGACGTGCGCCTTACACATGCGGAACTGGCAAGCCACGCCGTCGC